GACCATCCCCCCTGGGGGGTGATTTCTCGCTTTCTGTCTCTGTCTGTCTGTCTGTCTGGCGAGCACACGCGCCCTATAATAAAGAAAAACTCTCAAAAAAAAAAAAAAGACCAATGAGTGATGAGGCCTTAGAGTTGAAATATTTGCCTCTGACATAATTATTGTGGGTTTCAAGCAGGGCCTTGAGAATTTAGGCCATGGACCAAAGCCAGTCAGCTGCCTGCTTTTGTGAATAAAATGCTGCTGGGGGCCAGCAGGTGGCGTGGTGGTTAAGGTGTGGTACTCTCACATGACTGATCACCACTGGAGTCCGGGGCCCAGAGGCTTGAGAATCACGCCGTGAACTTGTGTGTACATGCCCAGAACCCCAAGAGGAGACTGGAGAAGGAACCGAGGAGTGGCCATCCCCCCAGGGGGGTGATTTCTCACTTTCCCTCTCTCTGTCTCTCTCTAGGGAGCACACGCCGCCCTATGACAAAAATCCAAAGAAAAATTGTATAAACTGTGTTGGAGCACGCCCTCATTAGTGAATGAATACTTTGTGCCGTAGTAAGCAGAATCAAGTAGTTGCAAGAGACCGTGCAACCCACAAAGGCTAAATTATTTATGTCTGGCCTATTTCTGGAGGTGTGCTGGTCCCTGCGGAGTAGAATAATCTTGGAAGCAGTAACTATGCTAAGAGATGGACTTGGCTTTCGACAGTCAGTGACTGTGGACGGAAGCGGGTGGAACCTTGCTGAGTCGTGACACTGGATGAAGGGCGCTCTCCCCGTTTTGTTTCCCTCCTGCACTCATTCTAGAAGACTGGAGCTGCTGCCCCGCCCTCTGGAGGCCATTTCAGTCTCACTGCTACTTTATTTCTCCGGAGATGCAACCTTGGAAGGAGAGCCAGAAGAACTGCTCTGGGATGGGGGCTGATCTGATGGCCATCAACTCTAAGGACGAGCAGGTACTTTCTGGGAGGCGGGGGGTCAGCTAGCCTGTTTCCTCTCTTGTTTTATTAACGATTAGTTATTTAAATTTATTTACTTATGGGACCAGCAGTTGGTGTAATGGCTATGTCACTGGGCTCTCATATAGTCATCTGCAGTTCGAGTCCTGAGCTCGGTGGCTTAAACTCACGCCGGGCGCGTGTGCATGCGTGCCCAAGATCCCGAGAGGAGAATGGAGGAGAAGGGATTGCGGCGTGACCATCTCCCAAGGGGGACAATTTCTCGCTTTCTGTCTCTCTGTCTCTTTCTGTCTTTCTGGCGAACGCATGCACCCTATAGCAAAAACCCTCTCCCCCCCAAAATTATTTACTTACTATTTTTAAAAGAATTATTGGTTTAACTTTATTTGCTTATTATTATTCTTCAATTTGGCCAGAGAGAGACAGAGAGAGGGACAGTGAGAAAGCAAACCACCAGGCCCTGCACTTGAACCGTGGTCAGCCATGTGGGAATCCAGCGCCTTAACCACCATGCCACTTGCCAACTTCTGTTATTGTTTTTTGTTTGTTCGTTTGTTTTTGTTGTTATTGTTTTCATTTGGCCAGAGAGAGAGGGAGAGAAAGCAAGTTTCCAAGTCAGGGACTTAAACCCCAGTCAGCCATGTGGGAGTTCAGGGCCCTAACCACCACGCCACCTGCTGCCCCATTTCTTCTCTTGATTGAGGAAAAGTCTTTTTTTTTCTTTTTTTTTTTAACTGTCCTGAAAGTTGGGAGACAGAGAAAAGACTGATTGTTTAAAAAGAAGAGAAGACGGCAGCCAGTGGTGTGGAGGTTACAGACACTGGATCCCACACCACTGACTGCCCGTGGGAGGCTGGCATCTGCGGCTTGAAAAACACACCAGGTGCACGTGTGCACGTCCAAAATCCAGAGAGGAGACTGGAAAGGGGATTGTGATGTGGCCACCCCCCCCCAGGGGATGATATCTCTCTCTTTCATCAGCGTACATGCCCTATAGCAAAAACTAAAATAATTACAATAAAGTAAAATATACGGGCCGTCAGGTGGTGTGGTGGTTAAAGGTGCTGGATTCCCATTTGGGCGACTACAGTTCAAATCCTGGACCTTGCTTTCTCGCTTTCCTTTTCTCTATCTTCATCTAGTCAAATTAAATAATAGTAATAATGACACATGGAGTGGGAACCAGCAGTTAGCGTAATGGCTATGTCGCTGGACTCCCACATAGTTGACTGCGGTTCACGTCCCGGACCCAGTGGCTTAAAACTCACACCGTGTGCGTGCGTGCCCAAGATCCCGAGAGGAGAATGGAGGAGAAGGGATTGCGGCGTGACCATGCCCCCTGGGGGGTGATTTCTCGCTTTCTGTCTCTATGTCTCTGTCTGTCTGGTGAGCGCATGCGCCCTATAGCAAAAAATTCTCCAAAAAAAAAGAATAGCACATGGAGCTTTTGGGCCGGAACAGCTATCTTCCAGTAATTCACCAAAATGACGAACACAAAGTGGAAGAGGAGAGGCACCCGATATATGTTCTCTAGGGCTTTTAGAAAACATGGAGTTGTTCCTTTGGCAACATCTATGCGAATCTATAAGAAAAGTGATATTGTAGACATCAAGGAATGGGCACTATGCAAAAAGGAATGCCCCATACCTTACCATGGCCAAACTGGAAGAGCCTGCAGTGTTACCCAGCATGCTGTTGGCATCGTTGTGAACAAACAAGCTAAGGGCAAGATTCCTGCCAAGAGAATGAATGGGCGTATTGAGCATATGAAGCATTCTAAGAGCAGAGAGAGCTTCCTAAAATGTGAGAGGGAAAATGAGCAGAAAAAGAAGGAAGCCAAAGAGAAAGGGACCTGGGTTCCACTGAAGCGCCAGCCTGCTCCACCCAGAGCAGCACACTCTGTGAGAACCCATGGGAGCTCCTGGAACCTATTCCCTATGAATTCATGCATAATAAAGTGTTATAAAATAAACTAACCTGGGGCCGGCAGGTGGCGTGGTGGTTAAGGGCACTGGACTCTCACATGGCTGACTGCAGTTCGAGTCCTGGACCTGGATGCTTGCTTTCTGGCTTTCCCCCTCTCTCACTCTGTCCTTCTCTGGTCAAATTTAAATAAATAAATAAAGTTAAAATAATTTTTAAAAATCATTCTTTTTTATTAAATTATTTATTTAATTTTATTTATTTATTCATTTATTTTAATTTGACCAGAGAGAGACACGGAGAGAGAGAGAGAGATGGAAAACGAGACAGCAAGCCACCAGATCTAGGACTCGAACCATGGTCGGCTATGTGGGAGTGTCCAGCACCTTAACCACCATGCCACTTGCTGGTCCCCAAAAATCATTCTTTAAAAAAATATAAAAAGTAAACTAAGCTATGGTCTATAAAAACAAAAACAACACATGGAATTAAATAAATAATTCTTTTAAAAAAATTTAAAAATGTAGACTCCTGCTTTTGCTTAGGATTCAGAAAGTTGAAAATAACATTACTCTTATCCTAATAACAAGAAAAAGTTTGATAGACTACTCAGTCTATGTTTTCTTGAACTTAAAGGAGTCACTTTGTTTCCAGTCCTGCTTAATTTAACCACACCTTTGGAATATAAGGTAGCTGTACCTGAAATTTTAGAACTCAGACAAACTGAGTCAGAAATCGTTTTATATATGGGACCAGTAATAGCTACGTTGCTGGACTCCCATGTAGTTGACCATGGTTCAAGTCCCGGACCCAGTGGCTTAAACTCATGCCAGACCCAAGAACCCCAGAGGAGAATAGAAGAGAAAGCATTATGGCGTGGCCATACTCCTGGGGGGAGGGTGATTTCTCGCTTTCTGTCTGTCTTTCTGGCGAGCGCTCAAGCCCTATACCAAAAAAAAAAAAATACCCTCTAAAAAAAAAAAATCAATGTAATGTAATTTTATATCAGGGCCAGCAGGGGGCACAGTAGTTAAGGTATTGGACTCCCACCACCTTAAGGGTCAAGTCCTGAACCTGGCAGCTTGCTTCCTCACTTTCATCTTCTCTCACTCACTCTCTCTGTTTCTTTGGTCAAATTAATAATAATAATAAATAAAATTAAATAAAGAAATTTTTTTTGGAGAGGTTTTTTACTATAGGGAGCATATGCTCTCCAGAAAGAGAGAGACAGAGAGACAGAAAGCGAGAAATCACCCCCCAGGGGGGATGGCCACGCCGCAATCCCTTCTCCTCCATTCTCCTCTTGGGATCTCAGGCACACGTGCACACATGCCCGGCGTGAGTGTAAGCCACCGGGTCCGAGACTCGAACTGCAGGCCACTACGTGGGAGTCCAGTGATGTAGACATTACACTATCAGCTGGTCCCAAGAAATAGTTTTTTTTTTTAAAGGAAGTTTTGTATCACTATTCTGGTGTAAGCCTACAGCCTCAAATTTCCATTTTCTTTCTTTTTTTTTTTTTTGAGAATTATTTTATTTAACTTTATTATTAGCATTTTTTTTTTAACTTGACCAGAGAGAGACAGAGACAAAGAGAGGGAAAGTGTGAAAGTAAGCCACCAGGTCCAGGACTTGGACCATGCTCAGGCATGTGGGAGTTCAGAGCCTTTAACCACCATGCCACCTGCCGACCCCTAACTTTCCACTTTTTTTTCTTTAAAAAGTTAGGATTTGGGGGCCAACAGGTGGTGTGGTAGTTAAGGTGCTGGACATCCACATGGCTGCGAATTGAGTCCTGGAGCTGGTAGCTTGCTTTCTCCCTTTCACTTTCTCTCTCTCTCTCTGGTCAAATTTAACAAAGAATAATAC